TGCACTGACCTTTTTTAGTTTCCAAGATAAATATTAAAGAGCATTTGTGCACTAAGTTTACCCTCCTAATTATTTCCCTATAAAATGAACCCACTGTGAGACACCTCCAAAACATATGTGTTACAAGGAGACATTTTGAGTATTACATCTCCAACAGGTTGTTGATCTAGAGAAGAAGAAGAAACTATGTTGACTAAGCTCCTTCTTTGGAGGCTTTTGAACAGAGGCTGATGGCCATCTTTCAGGAGTACTTTGATTGTGCTTTTCCTGCATGGCCGGGGGTTGGACTAATGGCCCATGTGGTCTCTTTGAGCCCTATTGCTCTATGATTCTATGACTAACGTATCCAAAATAGCAAATTCTGCTATATAATGTGTAATTATTCTCTTGTCAACTGCAGTTCAATTCTTACGCTTGTGCTAAATTGACCGCACGGGAGAATTTGGATTTGAAGGTTGGGAAGAAAATGTTTTTTTATGGAAGATGTGGGCAGATAATGGGATTGCTGCCCTAAATCAAATATGTGAGGGGAAGTGATTGGTTTATGTCCTCAATTCTGCAAGAGCAGTTTAACTTACTTTTATCAGCAAAATGACAACATTTTGGAATAAATTTATTTATTTCCCATATTTCTACCCCGTTTTTCTTTACCCCTGAAGGGGGACTCAGGGTGGCTTACACTTGGCAACAATTCGATGCTGCTACATATAACAATTACAGTAATACAACAATTAAAACAATAAATAGAACATTAATTAAAACAATGTAAAACAGTATCATCCGCTGTATCACCATATCAATCAAATTCCACATCCAAAGTGCTAAATGTGTCTGCTGTCCAAAAGCGTGGTCCCAGAACCACGATTTCAATTTCTTCCGGAAAGACAGGAGGGATGAAGCCGATCCTATCTCATTGGCGCATTCCATAGGCGGGGGGCTACAGCGGAGAAGGCTCTGTCTCTCGTCCCCGCCAGGCGCATTTGTGACACTGGTGGGAGCGAGAGCAGGGCCTCCCCAGATGATCTTAAACTGTGAGGTGGGACATAGAGGGAAATGCATTCAGACAAGTAAGCTGGGCAGAACTGTATAGAGCTTTATAAGTCAAAAGCAGCACTTTGAATTGAGTTCAGAAGTGGTCTGGTAGCCAGTGGAGCTGACATAACAAGGTGGTGGTATGCTCCCTGTATGTTGCTCCTGTTAGTAATCTGGCTGCTGCCCATTAAAACATTTGCTACTATTCAAACTTGGCCCTGAAGCACGAAGTACGTACTTCTGAGGTTCTTTTCATTTTAGAAGCATTGATACTGACAAAGTATCTAAAGTTTCTAAACCAATATGTGTGTGTGTTTATTATCAATAAATAAATACAGCAGACATGCAAAGTTTTCAACATGAACTGGAACGTACAGTTCTTGCTAATGCAAGATTAACTATTTTAACATCTATAACCAGTGCAAATCTTCAACTTTAAATATAATCTCAGAATTTGTGTTGTTTTAGTTTCTACTGTTTTTATAGTCACTGATTTTGACAATGTTTCTACATCTTGGACATTGCTTTTTATGCTAGGCCAAACCTGTATGGATTCGCAGCCTGAAAATGTATGGATTTATAGCACAAAAAAGAAATGGTAGCATAAACTTTTGTAGACATCCTCAGATGCATGCAAAACATAGGAACAGACCTTAATGGGCTGGCTGTATGTATGGCTGAGAAGTAGAAAGGAGATGCTGTAAACTGCCCAAGAGAACCAAGACCCCAACCTCAAGAGGGCTCTCTTGGCCATGATTCCTTGGACACAGATCCAAAATAACATGTCTTTGAATTTCTTCAGTCTAGCATGGTTAATACTTTGAATGCTACAGCAAGAGTCAGAATAGGTATGAATGAAACATAGATGGTGATAATTTTAAAAGACAATTAAACTAATGTTAAAACACTAAATGTACAACACATTCATTAAAAGATACAACATCTATCATTTGAAAATCCTATTTTTAATCAGCAAGTCAATTGTCCAAATGTGTGCCTAAATTAAAAAGGTCTTTGCCCACTATGAGAAGAAGGAGAAAAGACGGATCCAGCATTTCCTCCTGACGAAAAGAACCCACAATTTAAGAGTAGTCATCAAGAAGGTAGCCACCTCTTCCTCCTCTGCCATCTTCTCCAGCACCACCTCTTCACCTCTCTCCATCATCCTCACTGCTCTAGAGTTTCACTTCCTCAAAACATCCCTGGACTTGACTAGCTGCCTTGCCATGGAGGCCTTTATGTCATGGTTCCTCAGGCTGTAGATAAAGGGGTTAGGTGTTGGGGTGAGCACTGCATATAGGAGAGAGATGAAAGTTCCTTTCTGAGCTGAGTAAGCAGAGGTAGGTTGGAAATAGAGGCAGCTGATAGTGCTGTAGAACAAGACTATGATAACCAGGTGAGGGCCACAAGTTGAGAAGGCCTTGTGCTGACCGCCAGCTGTTGGGACTTTCATGACAGCATGAAATATGCATTCATAGGAGATAACAATGAGGGCAAAAGGTCCTAGAATATCCACCATGCCTTCTGTCAGTGCCAGGATCTTTATGAACCTTGTGTCAGAACAGGAAATATCCAGGAAGGGGTAGATGTCACAGAAGAAGAAGGGAATCTCCTAAGAGGTGCAGAAAGAAAGCCATGAGATCAGAAGTGTGTACAGCAGTGGTTCCCAAACTTATTTGGCCTACCCCCTGGAAATCAATTTTTCTAAACCTTCTCTTCTTTCCTTTATGCTTTCATCACCCCCTTACAGTTATTCATCGCCCAAAAGGCACCTGTGGCCATTACCCCCCCCCCCCCCCCCCCCCCCCCCCCCCCCCCCCCCCCGATCACTGCAGCACCCACCAGGGGGTGGTAATGCCCACTTTGGGAATCACTGGTGTAGAGCAAGGAGTGAAGAGAAGAGAAGATCCAAGAGCCAGACACCAGGAAGATGCAGACCTTGTGGCTCATCACTGTGGTATAGTGTAATGGATGGCAAATGGCCATGCCATCCGTTACACTATATGTATTATATAGCAATTATATGCCATGCAAGCCAGGAGGAAGTTATCAGTATTGCCAAAAGTTACATAAAAATACATCTGGGTCAAACACCCTCTATAAGAGATGGTTTTAGTCTGGGATATGAAATTTGACAGTATCTTAGGCATGGTGGTGGAAACAAAGAAGGTGTCAACTAGGGACAGATGGCTGAGGAAGAAGTACATTGGGGTATGGAAAAGGTGGTCATCAAAATGCACAAGTACAACAATCAGAAGATTCCCCAAAAGGCACAACATGAAGACCCAGAGAAATAGTAGAAAAATGAGAACCTGGTGTTCAAACTGGCTGGAGAGGCTTAAAAGGACAATGTCAGATTGGTGTGTTTGGTTCATCCAGACCATTTTGTCCCTGTGAAATAGAATGAGAGAAAAAGAGAAATGTAATCAACTGGTGAGAAAAAGTTCTCATTTGTCCACTGGAGGGCAGAAAAGACAAGTGAAGAGAGTTAGTTAATGGGTTGTTGTAGGTTTTTCCGGGCTATATGACCATGTTCTGGAGGCAGTCTTCCTTCATTTTCTTTTTCCATGGTGAATTGGATGTTTGGGTGGATGCTGTTCTAGATGTCCTAGTCATCCGCAAACCAGATCAACAATTGGGTCACACCGTTTACAGAAAACCCACAC